CACAAAAATAAAATAAAGACATTGTGTTCACCTAAAGCTAAAAAATAAATATTAAAAAAAAATAAGTATATGGTTTAAAACTCTTGTGGACTTGCCTCGCATGCACAAAGCCCTGGTTCAATCCCTAGCACCACTAAAAAAAACAAAACAAAAAAAAAACTCTTGTGGAATCCAGACTGAGAAAGCCAAAATGGATCCACACCTGGTATGTGGCCAAAACTAAAAGCATGACTATTATTATTACACACAAGGTGAGTTTAGCTGTAGGGACAGTATAAAAGAATGAGGAAATCAACTCACTGTATGATGTTTGAATCACTATAAACCTTTAGCACTCCACAACTTGGTTGTGCATTAAGTTTTCCATAGAAACATGGAAAGTTGCTCATTTAAAGGACATTGGGGGCTACTCCATTTGAAGCATTCTACAATTGTCTAAATAGGTAACTTAAGAATAATTAAACTTGTATAAATGAATGGTGGTATTAAATACTTGCCACTTCAGTGTCTGACTTGCAAATCTTAGAAGGTATAAGTCAAAACCTATACTCCTCCACAAAAGATTCTTGCTTTTGTCCCTGGTGTTAGTCAGCTTTTTATCTCTGTGACCAAAACACCTGACATAAACAACTTAAAGGAGGAAAAGTTTATTTTGGCTCAGATTTCAGTCCATGACTAGCTGGCTTCATTGCTTTTGTCCTGAGGTGAGACAGAACGTCTTGGAGGAAGGTTATGGAAGAGGAAAGATGCTCAGCTCATGGCAGCCAGGAAACAGTCACACAAGACAGAGAGGAAGGGGCCAGGAACAAGATAAACATTTCTAGGTCAAACCTCCAGAGACCTCTTCCTTCAACTAGATTCTACCTTCTAATAATCTATTCAAATTAATAATCCATAAAATGAATTCATCCACTGATGAGATTAGAGCCCTTGTGGTCCAATCATTTCCTAAAACCTTTACCTCTGGAGACCACTTCATTGTGGTTGGAGCCTTAAGCACATGAGCCTTTGGGGGACATTGCAGGTCTAAACCATAGCAATCCCTTTTTGAGAAATAAATGCCCTGAATTGCAAGATGTCTTTTTAATGCAAATGTATGAGAGAGAGAGAGAGAGAGAGAGAGAGAGAGAGAGAGAGAGAGAGAGAGAGAGAACCCTCTAAAGTCCTTGCAGATGAAGAGAAATCCATTGCTATGAAGATATAATATAAAACCAGTCACATCTCTTCGAACTTAATGCTTACTACAGACTTTAATATAAGATTATTCCAATTAGTTCTATCCTTTAAGTACCCTTTTAATTCAAAGTTTTATATGAACTGGCCTGGGAAGGTAATCCTAACCATTGTTTAGACAGGATGTTTTGTGATAATTTGTGATTCAAATCATCCAATATTAACACTAACTTTAAAAACACAGAAACTGCCCTCACAGACAAAATGTAAGAGTTACTGGAACCAGACTCCAATTTTCGTGGCATGTCTTGAAAAAGCAAGCAAATGCAAATATGGCTCAGAATGAAGTCACTACAGGGTGTTCCCCTCTTTTGGCAAGGAAGAAGTTATGGATTGGCATCTTCGTCATCTAAGGAATCATAACCAGTTACAAATTAAGGCTATCGCCCATCACCCATAATGCTTAGAATGAAAATAATCTTAATGGGATTATTTCTCATACAAAATAACAAAGCTGAAAACAAAGTATTCAATATCTCTTCTTCAACAGTTTCCTCTGAATCACTGGAATTGGTATACTATTAATAAATGGATTTGTTAGCAAATAAGATAATACAGTTGAGAAATGGAAGGGTTTTTTGGAAATTCTATTTATAGAAAAATTAAGTTGTTCAAGATTTCTACTGACTATGAAAATTCCTTTAGCTTTAGTAAAATATAATCAATTAATATGTACAAAGAATTTAATTACATATAAAAATATGTACAGATCTACATATATAAGTATATACATTATTACATATATAAATAGAAAATTTATATCTATGTTAAATTTATATGTACCATATTAATTCAGTTTTCCTAGGTATGACTCTTTTCTATATCACCTTACTTTTCTGTTCATAAAATTTCCCAAAGGGAATAGTATATCATTTGCATATGTTATAATAAAAACTCCCCTGTCTAAATCCATCTGCTAAGTCCCAGGTGTACTTAAGGAGCATCTGCATTTATAATACATATAAGTCATCCATAATTTGTCACAAGTTATTTTACTTTTTTAAAGCATATGAGAAAGGAAAGTGTATAGTCATCTGAGAAACCCCTTCATTCTACAAATGAAGAAAACAATGCCAGAAAATTGTGACTTACAGATATCTTAGTCATAGAATGGCAGAGCAAGAACCAGATCTCATGTCTGCTCAATGCCAGCTCTCTGGTCTTTCCACTGTCCACCCCGCCCAACACATTTCTCACATTCTTTTCAAAAAGTAAATAAAATAACATGTCCCTTAAATTAGGAATGGAACTTAAAAGTAAAGTGTGTATGATAGAAGTAGAAATGCTTAATGGAAACAGTGATACCAACAAATTATATCCTTTGGCATTTTGCAAAAAAAAAAAAAAGAGAGAGAGAGAGCTCTTAGGGGATGCAGACGCAGAATTCAACTTCCTAAGTCAATCATTCTGAAGGTGGTTGTACATTTCGGTTACCCTGAGTGAATAAAAGTCTGTACAATTCTGCCTTTTGACAAGTTTTCAAAAAAAAAAAAAAGTTAAAGCACAGTATGACAGTAAAGTGGGGGAGAATGTCCATCAACACTCAACAGTTATTTCTACCCTGGCATTTCTCTTGGCCCAGCACCCTAATTTGAGCTCTAATTAGCTCATGCCTGGATCATACCTATGAAACAATCAGACCCTCTGATCTGCAGTTTTTCTCCCCTCTTCCCACAGTGCACCCCAGTGCCAGATTCATTCATCTCCTGTAAATCATTGTTCACATTATACCTCCTTCATCCAAGCCTTGTGATAGTGTGCATTTTACTACTAATTGATTCGTGTCCAAATATTTTACAGTCTTTTTTTCAATTCGTCATAATCTGTCTGCATTTTATGAATTCTGTCTTACAAGCTGTTGCTTGTCTTTCCAGTAGAACATTGTCAATCCCATCATCAACCTTTACTAAGTGCTTTTTCCCTTATCTATTTCTCACTTTCTTCTCTGCTATTTGAAATCCTACCCAAGCTTCCATTACCTACTCAGGTCCCTTAAACAGTTTCTCCCCACTATTCCTTTCCTCACTACTGAGCTCTCCCTTCTTTGGTTTCCTAAGTGTTTCTCTAATTGTTTCATATTGGCAGTCTTGCATTCCCCAATGTTCTTTTGGGGGCAAGAATTGTGGTCTAGGAATCTCTCAAATACTCTTCTCACCCCCTACCCATTCCTACATACTTCAGCATCTTGCTGACTACAGCAGATACTGAGTACCTAGACTGCCAGACTGTGCAGGTAAGGCAAAGGAGGAGGATGCCACCTACATCCCAGTGATCCTGGTGAAAGTCCTAAATCTCAGGTGCATCACTCTTCTTGATGCTCCTCATTACTCTTCACTACACTAATACTGACTTCTCCCTCTGCAGGATTTGTTAAATCCATCCCTTCTTTCTAACCATGAATCTATGTCTGATCCACCTGCAACCAAGTTACATTACCCGCTTTCTCACTCCAAGGACAGAACAAAAATGAAAACATTGATTTACATTCCACTTATTTTTCCTCCATAAGAAAAAAATTCCACCCCTTTATTCACATGTGTTTCCAGGGTTGAAGATAGGAGTGATACGATGACAATGTTTAGGCTAGGGAGACCTCCCCATGTACCATCCAAGATGCCCATACTCTCCAGTTAAGACTAGAAAATATCACTAGGGTCCCTTTCCTTCTGACATCCAAAATAACCACAATGCAAGAGGGTGTTTCCAGGAGGTGGACTTTTCCCACCTACATGACTTCCTGCTCCCCTCCTACTTTGGAGGCAAGGAGAGCCTTACTTCCAGTCATTTGAAGTTCCAGCTCTCCATCCTAAGCACAGACTTCCAAGGTCATAGGGATGGCTCCAGAAAGTTCAAGGCACCTGTTCCTTCCACCTGTCCTCTTCCCTCACCCAGGTGATTCATGTCCAGTGGTCTTTAAAGTAACAACTTTTCTCCCACTGAAGAAAAGTTTTCGCTCCCAGAGTTTCGTCTTAAAATAGGAAATAACAGATTACAAGTGAAGTGTTCTTGAATTTCATCAAAGGTTTCCTCAATAAAATGTGTCATTTCCCTTTCCTTTCTTCCCTGTCAGCAACAGGAGAGTCAGGTCCCCCCGAAGGTGAGTTTTTGCCTTTCCCAGTTCCTTCCAGCTGCCCCAGCAAAAATAAGGCATATTAATTCATTCTTAGATCATGACAGTTTCTCCAGGAGCCGTCCCCTACCTTTCTCACACTGCCGGACACACACACACACAGAGAGAGAGAGAGAGAGAGAGAGAGAGAGAGAGAGAGAGAGAAATTCTCTCCACCAGGTTGCTCCACACTCCCTGCCAGCATCTTGGGTCACTGAGTTTCTCCTGTGGGTACCCTTCGGGGTACAGACGTCTATTCTCCTTCTTTAGTGAGTTTTCCTCCCACCACTCCGCACTCGAGGGCACTCTGTCCCCAGAGCCCTAAGGCACCCCCTCGGGTCGCTATAGGGCCCTCTGTTCTGTGCACTGCTCCCGTTGGCAACCTGAGCATAGCACCGGCAGCACGGCCCGCGCGATCCCTTCCGCCTTCGGGCCTCCCTCCACGCCTAGGGGCAGCCTCCAACAGGTGCAGCCCCAAGGGCCCAATTGCCAGATCCTCAACTTCGTCCTCTCTCAGTCATCAAAGTTCTCTGACCCGCGCTCGCCAGCCCGAGAGCGCCCTCGTGCCCAGATGTCTGCGCGACTCAGAGTTCGCCCTCCCTGTGACTCCAGCCCCGGTCTTTCCTCCTGCTCTCAAGTGCCCAACGTGGCCACTTACCCAGGGCAAGGGCCAGGAGCAGTGGCAGGGAGCTGGCGCCGCTGCCCGGGGCGGCCCGGTCCATCAACCCCGCTCTGCGGGGCCGGGCAGCCCCTAGACGAGTCTCCCTCCTCCTTCTTCGCCCCCTTCCCGGGACCCGGGCGCTCGAGAGGGTGCTTGGAAACTAATCCTGGAGCCAGGAGGAAACGAAACTACTCTTCTGGCTGGCACCCTGGCTACAGGGCAAGGAAACACCCAGGGAGGACGGCCGGCCGGCTCTGTGAGTGTCGGGAGAGGAGGGAGCCTCCTATTTATCCTCACTCCTGCACACACCCCACTAAAAAGGCGCAGAAATTGGTGGTAGCGGCCACGATGCTCCCACCCAAATTGCCCCACACCCATACCCACACCCAAGGATACATTTGGGCGGCCCGAGGGCCAGCTCACCCACTCCCCCTGCTGGGTCGCACCTGACTGTTCATTTCCCTCCCCCTGGAGGAGTAAACAAGGTAGGAAGGGAGATGTGAGAGACCACGTGGAGGACTGTAAGGCGCTGACCCCGCCCGCGCGCAGCCCTCAACTCTTGAAACCTGCTGACACAGAATCAAACGTGTTCTGGAACTCTAACTTTCCTCATTTCAGTTGTCATAGAGTGACCAGAGTCAAGGATCACTGAGAACAACCTCAGGCATTTGACAATAGCAAGCCTCTCTGTGAGTGTATGCAGGCAACTGCAAGTCTCATTATTATCTATCATAGTCCTAAAGCTAGTATCTTGGTTTTCAGTAAGCATTATCTTCTAATAATTTTTGAGAATTTTGTCTTATCAAAATCTACTTTAGAAATTTCATTTGCAATTTATTTATACCTTTGCTCATTTTTTATTTTATTTGCATTTATTTATTTTATTTATTTACTGTATTATTCTGTTAATTTTTGTTGGATCTATGAAAATAACAAGAATGCTTTTTGCTTCTGGCTTACCAAACCCTCTCCCTATTTTATCATACCGTGTTATGACGAAATGGTGGGATCCATTGGTTGTGCACCAAATAATTTCTGGAACACAGAGACATACAGCTTTCAAGGACAGAAAGGAGAATACAATTTTCTTTATATTATTTATATATTTGCTTTCAAAAATAACCAAAGAGTAAAGGTGTTCTGTGCTATGTCCTATGTTTCTATTGCAAGAGCAATAAGTATAACCATGCCCCATCAGTTCAGAAGTTGTATATCTATTGCCTCCAAACATCTGATAAACATTATTTTATGTATAAAATGCAAATCAGATGTCTGCTGCTCTCTCCCCAATTCATTGTTTAAATTAAGCAAATTATTATAAAATTTTACTCCATAAGTGACATTTCATTTCAAAACCAATTCAAATTATTTTAGTGCCCAAGGCAACCAAGATATCAGAGGAATAAAAATCAGCTCTTAATTTTCCAAATTCCATTCTAGCCCCACATGATAGCTCATAAAGAATTGTAGAGAGGGCAGGCATGGGGGTTGAAGAAATCCAAGGGGGATACAAGGGGCACAGAAGGTCACTGTGCCTTAGATTAAAAGGACAGAAGAAGCACAGGAAACCAAGGGATTTTGTAATCATTTTTCTCCCTTCCTTTTTCCTTTCTGGTATTCTCTCCATCTCTATCAGGGCTCTAGGTTAAAGCATCTCTCATTCTGAAATGGTACCCTATCCAAAACGTGTCCTGTTATCCCCTACAGAATGTTACAGTTCCCATTTCTTTCCCATAGATGCTAATAAAAAAATAAAGCCCACTTAAGCAAAAAGTACTAAATGTTTGTTGAGTATTGTAAAGTGCCAGTACCTGATGTAAGCATTCATCATTCACGCCATTCAAATGGCAAATTAACTTTTTTAGGTCACTAGAGTATGAAATAGTGTCATTTAATATACTAAATAGGCCAGATAAATTAATAACCTTCCCTGAGGGTTTTATTTACTGGCAGAAACAAAATAAGCATTCCCAATATATGCCTTCAAATTTTCCTAGTATTAGAGATCCAAACTCTTCAAGGTCAAGAGACTTTTGCTTTCCTATATTTCTCTTTCTTTTCTCTCCTTCTCCCTCTCCTCCTTCCCCTTCTTCCTCTGATTTTTCCTTCCTTCTTTCTCCTCTTCTTCACCTCTCCTTCTCTTTCCCCTACTCCTCCTCCTTCCCTACCTCTGTCTTCCCTTGCATATAGGAGAAGTTAATTCTCAAATCCAACAATCAACTTTGGAAAGGTTGAAGGTCAGATTTGACCATGCTGGGTCCACATTCATGTAGCAAAGCTAAGTCTCAATGCTTTAGGTTGTAATCTGGACTTCCAAAAGAAGAATAGATCGAAGTTACACAGAGTCCTAAGGCAGAACTTGTATCCATGGTATCCCCAAGCTGGAGATTGCTTGAATGGTACCTTTCCTGGACCAGCATCAGGCAGGTATAACCGGCCCTACCCAATCTGGTATGAGGCTCAAGTAGATTCCATCAGAGGGCCTTTAAGCATCAGCCTTGTTCTCTTCCCACACAAAGCCTCCAACAAGGACATTCCTCCCCCTCCTCTGGACAGGACAACATAAGCTGATAATTATTTGTGTAACACAGCACATAAACAGACACACAGCGTAATGAAAAGGAAAATTTTAGAATACATTCATTCTAGGTCAACATAGATTTTCCACATTATAAGATAAAAGTTCAGTAGAATACAAAGGTTGCCTACTGGTCATGGATATTACTTAATTTAATAAGAGCAATTGAATGAAAATGATAACTTTTAAAAGATATAATGTAAAGTAATAATAAAAATCATTTAAAGCATATTATCACATAGTTACAAATCAAAAGTATAGTATATATGGAGAACTTTAAAAATTGTAATGAAGCTATTGAAATACCAATGAAAAATCAGCACTCAACATCTATATTTACTTGATTCTACTTTAAAATCATTTTCTGCAGCAGAGGAGTTATTGTTTTTTTATCCTCCCTCTCTTGCCCACTTGGTGGTACCTTCCTCTTCAGGTTTTCAGGGTCCACCTTTTTATATCCATGCTGTTTTTTGTATTTAGTGATTTATTTGGTTGCTTATTTTCTATTATTAAATTATTTCTTCATTCTAATGTGTTATACACGATGGCAGAATGCAACTCATTTCATATTACACATATAGAGCACAATTTTTCAAGTCACTGGTTGTAACACTATTTGTGTCTTCATACATGTACTTATGGTAATGATGTCTAACTCATTCCACCATCATTCCTACACGCTTCCCCCATCCCTTTCCCTCCCTCCCCTTTGCCCTATCCTCCATTCTTCCCATGTTCCCCCCACCCCATCTCCATTATGAGTCAGCATCCTCATATCAAAGAAAAAATTTGGCCCTTTGGCCTTTGGTTTTTTACTTCACTTATCATTATATTCTTCAACTCCATCCATTTACCTGCAAATGCCATGATTTTATTTTCTTTTATTGCTGAGTAATATTCCATTATATATATATATATATATATATGTATATATATATATATATATATATATATATATATATATACACATATATCAAAGTTTCCATATACATTCATCTACTGAAGGACATCTGGATTGGTTCCACAATTTAGCTATTGTGAATTGTGCTACTATAAACATTAATGTGGCTATGTCCCTGTAGTATGCTGTTTTTAAGTCCCTTCCATATAAACGGAGGAGTGAGATAGTTGGGTCAAATGGTGGTTCCATTCCAAGTTTTCCAAGGAATCTCCATATTGCTTTCCAGATTGGTTGTACCAATTTGCAGTCCCATCAGCAATGTATGAGTGTGCCTTTTCCCCCACATCCTTGTCAACACTTCTTGTTTGTATTCATAATAGCTGCCATTCTGACTGGAGTGAGATGAAATCTTAGAGTAATTATGATTTGCATTTCTCTAATTGCTAGAGATGTTGAACATTTTTTCATGTTTGTTGATTGGTTGTATATCTTCTTCTTAGAAGTGTCTGTTCAGTTCCTTGGCCCATTAATTGATTGGGTTATTTGTTTTTTTGGTGTTTTTTGAGTGCTTTGTATATCCCAGAGATTAGTGCTCTATCTGATGTGCTTGTGGTACAGATTTGCTAATCTGTTTGACCATCTATCTTTTTAAAATGACAACTGAATACAGGTTAATATAATCTCAACCATCATTGTCTCTGTGATATTATGTCTGATAGTTTCAGTTAACCATTATGATTCTTTTACCATATTCATACAAACCTCAAAAATAAACTCTGGTCTAAAAAAAAATCTGGGCTTTTGTACTGGCTTAAGTTGCATGCTAATGAAGGAAGCACCTAAGCAACATAACTTTCATGCTGGAATATGGCAAGGCCCCAAACATCCTCCCTAATACACTTGCTACAGTAGCTTCATACCCTCCTACCCGGACCTAGATTCTCAGCACTCTAGACACTCTGCTAGGAGGTCAAAACATAGGTAGATAATTATGTACAATTGGTTCAGAAGTCTTTTCAGTACATTCAAATTGGTTCTGTGTCAATGAGTGGTTGAATCACAAATTACTCACTTCTCTCAGCCTCAGTTTCCTCATCTATAGAATGTTATGGTAATGAATTGCACAGTTTTATGACTCACAAGGATAGATATCTCCAAGGAAGAAATATGACATATTAGAAATCCTTCAGTGAATTATTGTTATATTATTAAAATGTACAGGGTACATTTTTTGACTAACCCTCATTACTAAAGAGTTGAGATGGAGGGAAAGAAATAACACATAGTAAAACTATGTTAGGAAGGCAATATTGAGCTAAAATTTCATGAATTGGGGCACTATTTGTGACTCCTTATACCCCTCTGACCTACTCCTCCTTCCCTTCCTTTCCTCCTTCCTCCTTCAACTCTCTTTGAAGATCAAGACAGCATATAACTCAGGGTACAATAATTTATTGAACAATGTTTTTGTTAGTTTTCTGTTGCTGAATATCATAAGTAAATTTATAAATTTTTAAAGAACAGAGGTTTATTTGACTCATGGTTCTGGAGGCATCTGATAAGGGCTTAACTCGCTGCACCACAACATAACAATGTGGAAAGACAGAGCAAGTATGCTAGCTCAGGAATATTTTCCTCTTCTTATAAAGCC